TCGTCTTCCTCGTCATCACCATCATCACCAGTCATAGACAGTGTCATGGCCGTCAGCATCAGCATCAGCATCATCATCCTGATCATCATCATCATCAGCATCATCCGAACCAACATCAGTATCATCATCATCCTCAGCATCAGCAGAATCACCTTCATCATCCTCATCATCCTCATCCTCCTGGCCGTCAACATCATAGTCATCACCATCAGCATCATCAGCGTCACCCTCATCATCCCCATGATCATGAGATCATCTTTATGATCATCATCACCAGTATCGTCGTCAGCATCACTTTAGTAGTCAATATCCTATTCATCGACCTTACCAGGCTCACCAGGATCAGAGTCACCATGAGCACCATCATCCGCATCCTGATCAGACTCTTTCTAGCCACGAGCATCAGTATCACAATCAGCAGCAGCGTCTTCAACATTATCATCATCACAACCCCCCCATCATGATCAACACTCCCGTCCAAATCACCAGCATCCACATCAGCATCACCGTCATCATCATGATCCCCATCCCTATGGCCATCATTATCGTCATCCTCATCAGCTGCACGAACATCATCGGCATCATCAGCATCATCATAAACATCATCACTATGATCGTCTCCAGCATCACCACCATCACCAGCACCATTCACATTATCATCATCATAAGCACATCATAGGCAACAGCACCAGCATCACCCTCAGCGTCATCATCATCATCATCAGTGTCCCCATCAGCATCATCATTATCATCACCATCAAGATCACCATGATCATAATCATTAGTAGCATCGTCATCATCATCATCGCCCTCATCATCAGCATCGACAGAATCCTTACTCGCATCATCAACAACATAATCATCCTCATCATCCTCGTTCGCCTGACCCGAATCATCATCAGCATCATTATCGTCATTACCCTGGGCATCCGCATATCCACAGCATAATCATCATAGTGATCCTCATCATCATTAACAACATAACCAGCGACATTATCAAGCTGAACAGCATGAGTATCACGCAAATCATCATCATCATCATCATCATCATCATCATCATCATCATCATCATCATCATCATCATCAAGACCACCATCATTCAACATCATCATCTTCAGCATCATAATCACCAACATTATCATCGTCATCATCATTACCGTCAACCCCCTAATCAGCATCATCATAATCCTCACTCGTGTCCTCATCAACATCATTAGCATCATCGTCATCATCGTTCCCCTGACCCAGATCATCATCAGCATCATCATATTCATCCTCGTCAGCATCGTGGGAATCAGCATTAGTATCAGCATAGTAATAGTCATTACCATCACCAGCAAGCATCAGCATAATCATCGACATTATCACACTCAAAAGCATGAGCATCACGCTCATCGCCATCATCACCACAATCATCATCATCACTCTCGTCAGCGTCATCATCAGCACCAACATCACCACCAACACCATCCACACTCTCGTACCCTCCATCATCATCATCATCATCATCAGCATCATCCTTATCAGCATCATCGTCCTCATCAGCATCATCATCATCGTCATCATCACCATCAGTAGCATCGTCATCATTATGATCGTCCCCACCATCATCATCATCATCATCATTATCATCATCACTATCCTCATCATCATCATCATCATCATCATCATCATCATCATCATTATCATCATCATCGTGATCGTGACCATCATCATCACCATCAGCAGCAGCATCATTCCCCTGGCCCTCATCATCATGGTCCTAACCATCATCATCACCATCATCATCGCCATTATCATCATCCTCATCAACATCGTCATCATCCTTATCATCACCGTCATCAACCATCTTCCTCGTCGTCGGCATCATCCGCATCATCATCATCAGCAGCAGCACCATCATCAGCACCATCATCATCAGCAGCATCAGCATCCTCCTCCTCACCATCGTCAGATCATCATCAGCAGCAGCACCATCATCAGCTTATCATCATCATCATCATCATCACCACCATCACCATCACCATCACCATCACCATCACCATCACCATCACCATCACCATCACCATCATCATCATCATCATCATCATCATCATCATCATCATCATCGTCATCATCATCCTCATCGTCATCGTCATCATCATCCTCATCATCATCGTCATCATCATCCTCATCGTCATCATCCTCATCCTCATCCTCATCGTCATCCTCATCCTCATCCTCATCATCCCCGCCACTTCGTCGGTGCGGTCGCCACGGCCGCCGCAGCCGCCGCAGCCCGCCGACCGTGGGCGGCCTCGGCGAGCTGCGAGTGCAGCGCGGCCAGCTGCGCGCCCTGGGCCTGTGAAGGGGAACTGGTACACACAAATAAATACACACAAATAAAAATATCCCCCATATTTTCGCATATTTTCTAGGTTTCTGTCTTCCCCCCCACTTCCCATATTTTCCCATATTTTCCGGGGAATCGAAGATTAATTGTGTCTGTGTGTTTCTTTTC